GGCTATTGAAGGCTTTATAAGTGAGAAGGAGGGTTTAAAATTTTATTCTGGATTTAACAGGAAGCCAATGAAGGGAAGCCAGGATAGGAGAGATATAAGCTCTCTTTTTAATTTTCATCAGAACTCTGGCTGCAGCATTTTTTTATTTAGCTACAGTTTGTGGACTTCCTGATAATAAAGAATTACAATAGTCCAGCCTTTGAAGTAACAGATGCATGGACTAGTTTCTCAGCATCACCCCTGGACAGGAGATTTCAAATTTTTGCAATATTATGCAGATGAAAGAAGGAAATTCTTTAGTCTGCGGATTCTAGAAACGTCAATGAAAAATAACACCAAGATTTTTTACTTTATTATTTTAAATAATAATATAATTGTAATAATTGTAATCATAATAATAATAATATATATATATAGAGTCCAGTTTAGAAACTAGACTTTTTTTAATATCAATAGTAAATCCCCATTCTTGTATTGTGTCATTCGTATGGACACTGCTAATAAATGTTGCCTCTGAAGCCTGTAAAAATCTAACCCTGACCTCGACTAAAGCTTCCATTTCATTTACACTGCAGTTACTTTTCATGGTCCAACAGAGGTGTCAGAATATGTTAGAGTGATTTCTCCTGACTCTACTGAGGGATGGATCCATTTTAGAAACTCTCAGTGATTACATCCACCAAAAACCTTTTATCCTGTAATAAAACAAAAAGGTGTTTCTAGACCTTAGTAGTTACTCTCACAAATAAACATACCTTTTCCTCCACAATCCTAATTCCACACTGAGCCCTGTCTGGACATCATGTCTCAGTTATGTAACAGAGGTTCAGTTTAGATTTGCTGAACGAACTAAACATGTCATGCTCAGTTTGCATTTCTTGTTCCCCTACATCGGCGTGACAGAGGTGTGCAGATCTTGGGACGATGCTGACCATCTCTGAAACACATTCATGCAGTGTGCTGACGTGTGTGAGGTCAGCCATTGTTGCTCATCCTGCTGATGCTGCTTTGCTTCGATCTGCTCCACAGGGCAGCCTGGACAACATCAGCATCATTTTGCTCTGCTTCCCGGGTGCCCCCCAACTGTCAGCGGTGGCGTTACACCAGGAGGCCGAGTTGGAGGACCTGCTGGAATCCAAAGTGGCAGGTCTGTTTACGTGTGTAATTGTTTATGATGCTAATCATCTGGTTCACTTAGCTTCTGAGGACCAACAAGCCTTATATAGTCTGGCCCTAATGTGGCGCACCCCATCTTGCAAGATGTTAACATTTAGATTAAGGGTAAAAATACTAAATGCAAAAAGTAAATTTCTCCATTGTGAGATAAATCAAGTTCAATTTTATTTTATAATTTTTTTTTCTTAATTTGAGTGTGCATATGTCTGAGTATAAGCTTGATCAAAGTCTTTTAAAAATATTAGTTCCTTTGCTCGTTTATCTTCTTGTTTTTACAATGAGATTTGTGTCAATGGACCCTAAGCAGGTTTTGGCACCTTTTACTTTTCAGCCAGAGAAGCCATCTATTAACATTTGAGGTTTAAGTTTATAAAGGCCAGAGGTGTGTAATGACTAGTTACATTTACTCTGCTTAATTTTGCTGCATTATCCTTTAATTTACCTTTATTTCAGCGAAAATGTGATGAAGTGCTGCTACTCTTTTTTGAATGTAATCTCTGGCAACTCTTCCCATCATGAGAGAATTTGCCCAATAAAGAACAAGATGTTTTAAAGGACAATATACCAGAACAACAAACATTAACAGTTTATTGTGAAATGTGTACGTTTTAATCTTAAGGCCTGAACACACCGGTTACCTACGACTTTTTAATCTCCGATCTGATAATTTTCCATGTCACACTTACTGCGTATAGAGAGGCTCCGACTAGGCAGTGTGAGCAGATCTGTGCAGATTAATTTCACTTCTGTCTCTGTGCAATACACACATTAGAAAAAAATTCCTACATTTGACTGGAACGGATTAGGAAAAGTAATTAAAATAAAAACCAACATGGCATTCTTTAAAGCAAAGCTCCACTTAACGAGTCTGTGCAGCGTCTCAAACCAGAACAGACAGAGAATGTTCATATGTTAAAAACATAATGAGATCTATGTCTAAAGCAAAGAAACTCAGAAATAAACGCCGTGGGTCGTTTTCTATTCTGACTGAGGCAGAGAGGTGATTCTCAGAAAGAGATCTGGGAAGTTTATCTAAGTTTTTCTTTCTTTTTTTGATAAAGAGGTGAGAGATATTACACTGCACTTATCTGCTCTGTCTGCCGCTCGTTATTTAGTTTTAGTGAAGCTCAAAAAGGATCACTACTTTATATGTTTTCTGTCCTCTTGAACTCCTATCATGGGTAAAGTTTCTATTTTAATATTTCATTCATGTTTTTGCACCACTCTGTCCTGCTTACTATAAACGCGATGTGCGACTCCAAACTGACTCTTTCCCTGTGAGATTAACATATTTTAATTTGTATTTTCCTCCAAAGCAGATTTTTTTTACTTTGTAACTGTGCTGCTGAATTGCTGCGTAGTCCGACTAAAATAGACCTGGGCTCTATCTCAGTTGCAGCTACGCTGCCCCCTGCAGGAAACCATCCCCATTGACTTTCAGTGAGCGCTAAACGTGACGAACTCGTCCAACACGATTTTGTGTCGGATTTGACGCCAAATCGTAGTCAGTGTGTTCTGGCCTTTACTTTGTATTTTCTTACCCTGCTGTGTTATTTGGAAGTCAAGTGAAGATAAAGCGAAAAGTGTACTATATGTTGTAACTCGAACTGACTTATCCTATTCTAACATGTATACATTTCACACTTTAAGTATTAATTTTGCAAGTTTTACAACAAAAAATATCTATACATTTCAATAAGTGTTTCACTTACATTTGTTACTGAGTTATTAGACAGCATATATGTATTCATTTGAGTCTTTATATATTTATTTTTCTAATTTACTTTTCTTTTTAAAACCTTTACTGAAGTAAATATACCATGAGGTATTGCAATACCTACTTGAATACAAATTTTAGCAACTCTACCCAACTCTGATTAAAACTGCGTAAGAAAATGGTTGTAAACATGTACAAAGATACATGGAAATGCTTTACAAAAGTGTTTGTGTTTCCTGTAATCTGACAGAAATATATGATGAGTTATCAGCAACTGGGGAGGAGCCTGACCTCCTGTCAGTCCTCACGGTCCTGGCGTCCACCGCTATTCCTGGATTACCTCCTGGTGGAGGCATACAGAGCAAGTAAGATGAATAAAACATTACTGTAATAAAAAACAAAGCCACATTCTTGGTTCGTGATTACAAAAAAATCACCATGTTTTATCTGTGTGTTATAGGAGGAACTGTATTATCTCTGCTTACTATCATCAAAGAGAAACACACCAGCATGCAGTACCAAATGTGAGTCTTGACTACCCTGTGTCCTCAGTCTAAGCTCTGCAACTATTTTTTTCTTCATTCTGCAAAAAAAGAAATTATTCCTGTGTTTTCTATAATGCTTGTCTCAACAGGCTGTGGGAACGTCATGAAGCCCTGGAGTGGAGACTGTCTCTAACCTGTAATTAATGTGAATATTGAACCGTTTTCCTAATGTGTCCAATCTAACCAAAAGGGATATCACATGACCTGGCAAAGGTGTCAGTTTACATCATGTTAGAAAGCAAGGAAATGGTGAAAGCAGTGAGTGCCATGCAAAAAATAAAAGAAATCTAATAGAGACTTAAAGTTTATATATTTATATGAGACAAATATTTTGTAAAACTCAGATGCAGAGCAAGCAATGAACCTCTGGCGCTAATCCAGTGAACACACAGCCCAGCTAATATTTCAAAACCAACTGTGACACGGTACATTTTTATCAGTTGAAAACCTTGACTTTTTCATGCGCATATTAAAGATTTAAATATAATAGTATAAAAAAAGTTGAACAGTTTAAACTCAATTTCTGTTTCAGCTTTAAAGCTATAACTATAAGTAAACATACAGATGGATATTTGTTCCTACCAGGCTTTTAGCTGGCAATGTGTAAGGGCGTACATTGTATGCCCTTTACTAAAAAAAATTACAAATTGTATGCCCTGTTTTTTGGGATGTACGGTTTTGGTACCCCCTAATTTGCCTCTGGAAACTTCACTCAAATTTTCAAAATTTCTGAAACAGCAGATAAACCAATGAGAGAAGCTGATCTAGGAGGTGGCAAGGAGACAGACTGCTGAGGCAGAGCGCTATGATCAATCCCCACAGGTGTCAAGTAACGAAGTACAAATACTTCGTTACTGTACTTAAGTACACTTTTTAGGTATCTATACTTTACTCCATTACTTATTTTTCCTCCTACTTCTGACTTCTACTCATTACATTTTCACACAAGTATCTTTACTTTCTATTCCTTACATTTTTAAAACAAACGTTACTCGTTACCCGTGGCTTCGGTTTAATGCAGAGGTCACGGATAGCGGAC